TAGCACTGAGGAGCGGTCTTCAAATTATTTTCATTTCCAGGTATCAATGTTCCACGATCACGTTTCCTTCCGGTGAAGAAGTGCTCAGATCTCTTGTTACTCATGTCAAATCTTTACGATATCGATCACGGAAGTTTAACACTTTCTGAGCATAGATCATTCCCAACAACACCGCTTGTGAAGTTAGGCTCTAGCTTTGACAAGGTACGTGCACAGAATACGATGCAAAGGTAGGTACTACACTTCTGTCTCTTCGCTTTCAGGTATCAGATTTCCTGAAACGTTTCCAAGGCATCCCTGATTTGCTGGAACTCGATCATCTGACCGTTTCGGGTGATGTATGGTTTGGAAAAGATGTATCGCTGAAGGTTTGTATCAGTTCTCGCTCGTACTATCAGAAATTGTCTGGGGAAATGCAAAAGCTATGTCTTCTCTGAGAATCCAGCCGCGTCCACCATCGTGCAGCGTTCCCCATGCTTGGAGCCTTCTTCTGCATCAGTTCTAAAGGAGAGGCGTACTAATGAATAAAACACTAACTATGTCAGGCGAACTCCGCCCACGCCACAATCGTTGGGCCTTCGCTCTCAATGCTCCTAAATCGCCATCAGGCCACAGTGCCATAGCTCACAGAAGGCCAAGCCATCACTCTAACTGTATCGCGTCTTACATAGTGTGCCTTTATGGGTAATTGGGTAAGGAGCCATGGCCGTCCTTAATGATTACCCAAGCCAAGTCCGGTACTAAATAGGGATCACACAGAGAAGGCAGTTTTGAGAAATGTAATGGCTGTGATTTCAGGGAACAGTTATCATCATTGCCAATCACGGAGACCGAATTGATATTCCGCCTGGCTCAATCTTAGAGAACAAGATCGTCTCTGGTAATCTGCGTATCTTAGAGCACTAAATCATAGATGGATAGGTTTCAGAGTGATCTAGTGTAATTGCCATTTAGTCAAACCTCCTTTACTCTTACTGTGCCTAACAAATCTTTTTGTTGCCTTGTACCTTGAAAACACTACCTATGCCATATTTCGAGAAAATCTACGAAATCTAGTGTCAGTTTCCGAGTGTGGTAAAAATAGGTCCCGTCACTCACCGCATGAACCTGCCGCTCGCGCGCGCACGGCTATTGGCGACAATATTGCGCGCTAATTTTAAATGAACAATTGACGTGCGGCTATGCCTTACGCGGCGAGCGGCAAATTGCGCCGCGTTTTGCGGAATCCTTTTTACCGCGTATGCTTACAGTCAGTAATCAATTTTTAGTCCGAATAGTTCAATTTATTCCTAGTAATCATCACACAGAAGCAGCTATATAGTATTACTACGGTGTAGCAATTGTCATACATATAAGGTCCAGTTTTATCCGCAAGATGAGATGATCGAAAGAATAGAATTGAGATCATTGTCGTTTTTTATTTTCAAATCGTATGTTCCATTGTTTATGCTGAGGAACGGATTCAGATTCTCAGAGATTTTATGTATAGATTGTAATTTCAAGCAATAAAATCAAATTTATTCTGTCTTTTCGATTCTGTCGTAATGGAGAAGTACTCGCCTACGCTCCAGTGCCTCTGCCAGTTCATATGAGCGTCCCATCAATGCCCCCCATTTAATGTTGCTTGCGGAAATTCCATATTCTTGCGGCACTCTTGGACTAGCTTAGTTGCCCCCCCCGTCCTTGCATCGGGGGACTCGCATACTTTTCACACTCTCCGGGCCTAGCGAAGCGCACGTCGAGCTTCCGCCGGGCGGCCGCGGTAGATTGTTTCGGTAAAACTGTGTGGGTATGAGTCAAAACATTCATGAGGGTCCTGACTGGTGTCCGTAGGTCGGCCCGTCACGAAGGCCTGTCACCTGCGTCGCATGTCCTCGATTAGCTCAGCTCGCAGAAGCGGTTCCCAGTGGCACCACGTGGAGGAGCGGACTTCACCACGTGAGCAGGGCGCTTGCCCTTACACCATTTCTGTCCTTAATCTTTACAGACGTAGAAAATATTTCGTGAGATGTGATAGATGCGTAGTGCTCCTTTTAACAACAACTTGAGCTTTATTCAGCGCTTATACAAGTTTTACGAAATCTTTAACTTTCTCACAACGTAGCTCTTCGAGTTCGGCCATGTTGCCGTCGATATCTTTCGTTTGCCATCTGGAACGTCTAGCTACAGTGAATTATTTGATTTAGTTTCGTAAGAAGTGCTGTCACTGTTGTGATTTTTCTTCTTTGCCCTTTGATTCAATCTATGGAAATTGATCAAAAGATGTAGTCTATGATGCTCACACTAATGAACAGATCAGAGCCCCCATCCGCCAATCTTGTGGATTAGCCAAGAGAGCTTTAATGGAGCAGAACAGCCGAAAACTGGAACACGCTATGCCTAGGAGAATAGGGGATAGGGTGCCGTGTCTTACACTAGCTCTCCGGCAAAAATGGTAGCCGGTGGGACCTCAGTAGCAATCGACGTTCTCCAGAATCACGTTTGACTTAGGTTGGTTAGAAGAGCCTTCTCCTATATCCAAGCCGTGCGGAATGTGTGACGTCCATGGTCAAGGTAGCCCTGTCGCAAGCACAGATGATCCCGCCGCGTGAAATACGCGATAATGAGCCACCCGACCGCGACGAAGACAATGTTCTGCCCGTTGCCCCACACCACGCCCAATGTTCACTTCTGACCAAGTAATGGTTTCAACTTTCTATAGAAGTGCAAAAGAAGACCAAGGCACAGCGGAAGAGTCTCGAATGTTGCTTGTGAACGTTCAGATTAAAAATTATACGGGGATCTTCCAAACGAGTTCTAGGTGCTCAACGTTTGCTGTGACTGCAAAACTGGTGCTGACCAGAAGAGTGCGAGTGCCGTCGTGGCTCAGTGGTGGCGGTCCTGCTTGACATGCGAGACAAACGAGTTTGCCCCCGAAAGTTTTGCTTTGTCTCCGATGAGAGCCTTCACGCCAAATTCTGACGTTTTCCTAAATTAACGGAAGCGGGAGAGCGAGCAAGTCAGATATTTGACGCGACAGATCAAACAGGAGAATCCGGTCCAGATCTGTCCCGTTACGAACATATCTGACAACTCGACATTTGGCCAGAATCCTATTTTTTTGGCATCTCTTCTTAGGGAAGAGAGTTCGCCCTTGAGAAAGAAGATCAGTCGTTTGCACGACGAAACGATTGGCTGCTGTCATCCAGATTGCTGACGACAACAACGTGAAAAGTGTTCTAGGAGGTGTTCATGCGAAATGAACGTAAGATTCCCTAGTACCCAGGAAGCTAGAAGGTACTCCAGGGACAGACCACCGCGAGTTCGCGTGTTTTATGATGACTTGACGCCAGCGCCCATCCGGCGTGAGACGAGCTGCAGATGTCCTTTTGACAAGATGTACTATTCGTATGGGGAGTCAAGCTACCCTCAGGGTCCTTGCCAAATTGAAACCCTGGCCCAGACTTCCGAATTTTCTCATAGGTTGTGAAGTAGGTAGTGGAGGGCTGGGCACCGGAAATTCTACACTTTATTTGCCACGTCAGATACTTGGGGAGACGAGCAAAAGAATCGTAATTTGCCGCTCCGCCGCGCGCGGCGTTTTCTTAACTCGTGTTAACCTGTCGATTGGAGCACCGGACTTCATGTAGACCCCGTCATCGTAGACATTCATGACTATTTTCGGTTCTGAATTGCCTGTTGTCGCCATCTACTACCTGGAACCATCGTCATTTGCGGGCGCGACGTCGCACGCGACGCCACCAGCGCGGTGAATTACGATTCCTCTGTTGGGTCGTTGATTGGAGGAAATGATAACAGTACAACAATTGGAGTGGATGCTCTCATTGGAGACAAGGCAAAAGTACCCCGTCAACGGGGAGCAAACCCTCTTGCTCTCGTATGTGAGGTGAGACCGTTCCCGATACGCTAGGTTGCACTGGCGATATGCGCTCACGACCACTTATGCATGCAAACATTATTCACACAAACTTTAACCACCCAGAACTCGTTTGGAAGATCCCCTTAGGATTTTTAAGCTGCATATTCACAATCAGCATTTAGACTTCATTTATATATCTAGTTCTCCATTCACTTGTTTCAAATATTCCTATTGAAGAGTAAAATGTTCTGCACTATTCAGCAACACACAACACTGGCAGGACTTTCGCTACTTTTACCCTTTCCTGCCCCACTTTTCGAAATTCAGAATCCGATTTTGACAGAAAAATTTTTCCATGATAGACTTAGCCGAAACTTTTTTCCTGGTTTGTACTTTGATCCCCCTTCCCCAAATACGAATATCACTCCAGTTTGAAGCGAGAGATGGCGACGGGCGCCATTGCCACAGGTAGTTTTGGCGGCGGCGCCCGTACTACGCGAAAGAGACGTTCACGCCAATCTAATGAGATATTCGAGTTCATTCAGGAGGTGAGATGCCTAATGTTGGTGTTCCGAGGCGCTTAAAGGCACAGTCCGCGATCAGGTATGGAAATTGAAAATATGTCGTCGGGAGGGTAGTGTGATCCATGAAGAACAACTCTGTACCGGTTTTGCGGCAAAAAATTGTAAGCGAATATAGGTTCAGTGACGCCTCCTTTTTTCCAGTGACTCCGCCTCCAGACTCCGCCTTCAAGGCCCGCTTTCAGTGAAAAACGAAGCTGCAGGACGAAAAAATGAAAAAAAAAAATATCGTCACTTTTACGGATCTAGGAAATTTTTCGTCGAGAATCAGCTGCGCGCGATAAGGGTGTAGTGAAGAATGGTTGGAGCTTATTGGGCTGTGTACAAACTGGGATCAGTATGTTCCTATTTGGGGGAGATGGCATTGTTTGCTTCTTTTCTTCGCTGTCGAATTACCAGCACCTTGTGGCTCTATATGCAAATCCCTAATACCCTATCTGTGATGACGGAGGATCGCGGATTCTGCCTTTAAGCGCTGCTGCGAGAAGGCTCTGAGCCAGGTGGACGTGACGCTCGTGTTCAAGAAGGAAAACAACACAGTAGCAAAATGCAAGGCAAATTCACCTCCCGGAGGAAAATCTCCTATCAAAGTCTGATCGGGGTTCTGCGAGATAGTAGAGGGTCTTAATGACCTACTGTAAATCGCTCTGGAAAACGCTCACGTTGAGTATCTGTTGCACTCAAGAATTGTGTCAATAGCTATGCCGCTACTGAGAGTGTGCTCTTCTGATGACATAAGGGCATAGGCTGTAGTATTGCTACATCGCACTCTGGCAAAACATCCCATGTAGCTAAAATCCGTTGTTATTAAGTGATGAGTCTCGAAACTTGAGAATATTTCAATCTTACTGGATTTCCGGCAAGATACATTCTTCTGTAAAGAGCTTTTCGCATCCGTAGCTCAGAACATTACAATAACAAACTTCGCGACGTGAACGATCAACGACTTTGGCCATCTGAACATTTTTATGTAGTATAATACTTTAAGGCCTTCCAAAATCTTCTACTGAGCACGTGGTGTCCTCCGACTTTCTTCGGTCAATATTTCTCAGCCTCTCGTTTGACTGATTGCGACTTGAGGAGGACAATTAGAGTCTATTAAAGCTGTTTTGTTATGATAACTGCTGTTTAACGCCGCAGTACGCGTTCCGAATGTTATCACAAGAATGCTGAGTTGGGCAAAAGTCGTACCCCAGGCGGGAGTCGAACCGCTATCCGTTACGCCACCAGGGCCGCTTTTACCCTCTCGCCATTACGGCCCTCCTCGATTACGGCTGACCGGCTCACCAAGTTAAACGTGTGAGTGCTGTAAGGCTACGGCATAAGCCGTTAAGCTGAGAGGGTAAAAGCGGCCCTGGTGGCGTAACGGATAGCGCACTCGCCCGGAAAGCGTGAGGTGCGGGTTCGACTCCCGCCTGGGGCACGACTTTTGCCCATAACTCAGCATTCTTGTGATAAGAGTCTAT